TTTTTTTTTTTTTTTTTTTTTGCAGTCGTCTTGTGTTTCTGTCGTGCCCGGACCACTGTGTTTTGTCAGGTGGGTTCCTCCTCCTCACAGAGCCCTTCAAGAAGCAGGGAGCCAGCAGTTGCCATGGCAGCACTGGAGGAACGAAGGCACTCGTAGCACCCTGACGTATGACATCGGCACAGTCTGCGTTCATGCAAGCCTACGCAAACCCACATCTATATCCTCCAACACCAGAAGACTATTCACATACAGCCAAGGCAGTCCCAGAAAAAGGTCTTCCAGTATTCACAGAACCATTCAAATGAGTCCACTGCAAAACACACCTACATACAGCGATATAAAAAAAACCCATCATACAGCTGTCTCCCATCCTCCTCTCTCTGCACCTACACATACTGGCCTACACAGCCCTGCTAAGCAGCAGTGTGGTGTATAAGCCATGTGTCTCACCCAATTTGAGACACATGGCAGAATGACAAACCAAGAGCATCACAGAAGTCTCATTCAAAAACAGAGCAAACACCTGTGCCTGCAGGTGTGTTTCTACCTCTAGGTTTGACCCATTATGATGTAGTTTACAAGTAAACACATTTGATATACACTCCAAGCCTTTTTATTCTTTCCTTTCACTAAAAAAACCAACTACAGACTCACACAATGTTAAAGAAATTGTGGGATAATACATTTTAACCACAGTTTGAGGCACAAGTGAAGCTGATGGAGCTTCTGTAAATGGTAGCAGACGTGCAAGACACACTCACAGTAGATACTAAGTATGAATCACAGAGAGAAAAGAGAAAAAGAGAGGATTATGTAAAATAAACAGTAAAATATCCAGATGATCCTTCCATCTACCTACTCTGCATTAGGCCTCACAATGTGAGATTGAGGTTGGCTTGTTACATCCATGTTTGCCATCGCAAGGGCCGAGAGTCGACCCTGTCTCCCGTCCATGCAGCATTAATAGACACATCAGCAGCAAGGATGAAGTAGGCAGTGGGTGTCCTCTCAACAGCCTGCTCTCACTGCACAGATCTGTGTAGTCTTACTGGCTCATGATGTAAGAGTAGGAATTTCTCATTTGTATTTAAGCTCGTCACAGCTTTACAGATTCATAAAAACATCTAAAGACCTCTATAATGACCTTTAAATATAAAAAAAGTCAGTCTTCTCCATTAAAAAACCAATAGTTAACCAAAAAGGAAGGATAATACATTAAGCAATTGATTGATATCTTTAATTAATAAAAGTCGCAACCAGAGAAATAATGAAAGTGGCACAAATTACAGACATTTTACAAATGAAAAGACCTGTGTCTACAGTTGGCTACCAGTGACGGTAGAGGACAGAACATTTCCTCTCCTGAGAAAAAAAAAACACTTAACTTGCTCAATGACTCAATCTGATTGTCCATGCCCTCTTGTTCTCTTTATTTATTGTACGAGTGTCTGTGCAGTTGGTGGATGTTTAGGTATCAGTGACTCATGCACAGACTTTTTATACAATGCACCTCTTTTCTGTCGTTCTCCCAGCGTCTGACACACACTCTCTGTGCGTCTGTCTGCCTTGCACTTTCTCTGCCTCCCACTACCCACAGTGTCTTATATAAGTCTTACATAAACGCTTCATCGACACCTTCTTGGTGATGAACCTCACAGTCATGCCTTCTTGTAAAGTCATTACACACAGCACTCATATTTACATAGCACTTTGGCCTCTTTATCTTACACAATCCACTGTACATGAACCAGCATCACAAAGGATGTGAGTTAATGCATTTCAATATTCAGTCTGCTACCAGGACACAACGACATAACAGTACCGGTGCATGCACAGAGGTGACAAGTGCCACCTGCTCCATAATGCATCACTCAACAACATATGAACAAAACAAAAAAATCTGAATTTGCATTTAAATGATATTATTGCATCGCAGTATGCAAACACAAAACTATTAATATATGTGAGTTTCCTTACGAAGCATGCTCAGACTGAAAATGAATAATTTCAATAATTCCTCATTTCTGAGAAATATTTAGTTACATCTTTTGCTGGTTCATATGAAGTGACAGTGAATGCCACTGATAAAAAAAGTCCTGTGATTTCATTGCACCCTACATACTGGAATTTTGGTACATGTACAGTTAGTACAGTTGGTAAACAGGCAGTGCACTGATTTTTGCAAAGAAGACCCTCCCTGTTGCTGACATGCAATTAGGCTTGTAATTTTTGGCAAAGTTTGTGCCTGAACATTTTGTGTTTTGCGTAGTTATGATGTCGCAGCAGTCAGGACTTGTAATGACGTCCCTATCAGAAAGAGCAGACCCCACAGGTCTTAAACTGCTCCCTAGAGAGGAAAAACACGGGAGAGCAGTGATAAATAGAGAGAGCTCACAGCTGTGTTGACATACAACATACAGTGGGTACGGAAAGTATTCAGACCCCCTTAAATTTTTCACTCTTTGTTATATTGCAGCCATATGCTAAAATCATTTAAGTTCATTTTTTTCCTCATTAATGTACACACAGCACCCCATATTGACAGAAAAACACAGAATGTTTGACATTTTTGCAGATTTATTAAAAAAGAAAAACTGAAATATCACATGGTCATAAGTATTCAGACCCTTTGCTGTGACACTCATATATTTAACTTAGGTGCTGTCCATTTCTTCTGATCATCCCTGAGATGGTTCTACACCTTCATTTGAGTCCAGCTGTGTTTGATTATACTGACTGGACGTGATTAGGAAAGCCACACACCTGTCTAAGACCCTACAGCTCACAGTGCATGTCAGAGCAAATGAGAATCATGAGGTCAAAGGAACTGCCTGAAGAACTCAGAGACAGAATTGTGGCAAGGCACAGATCTGGCAAAGGTTACAAAAAAATTTCTGCTGCACTTAAGATTCCTAAGAGCACAGTGGCCTCCTTAATCCTTAAATGGAAGACGTTTGGGACAACCAGAACCCTTACTAGAGCTGGCCGTCC